CTTATTTTAAAACTACTAAGATTAAATTGAATCAAATAAAATTTATATATAAACTAAATTGAAATAAAAACAATGATAGTTAACACTTCTATCAAATACTTAGTAGTTAACAATTTTTTTTCCAGAAAAATAAAATAAAAAACTTGACACATAAATGAGTAATTAAAAGAAAACCTAATTGACATACTTCTTCAAAAGTTTAAATTGAAATAAAAAATTTATAAGACGAACTTAAAACTTTTATTAGAAAGTGGGTTTTTAAGCCTAACTCAACCCCACAAAACCGGGCTCTGATACCATATTAGAAAGTGGGTTTTTAAGCCTAACTCAACCCCACAAAACCGGCTTGTAAAGATTGCAGGTGGAATAGAAGAATAGAATGCCCACTTAGAACTCGCTAGGATAGGCACTAACCATGGCTCTGATACCATATTAGAAAGTGGGTTTTTAAGCCTAACTCAACCCCACAAAACCGGCTTGTAAGGTGAGGTTTGCACCTCACTTATATATATTATAAATTGGCCTTATCTCTAATCGATGTGGGACTTCCAACAACTTTTCCACCAAAATAAGACTAAACAAATAATTAACCCATTCATTAAAGAAAGATTAATTCATTTTGGATCACTTAGGTATCTTATTATCATAAACGGAAAAAATTATTAAGAAATACTTTATTTTATCTAAACTTTTTAGGCGTAATTTTGTCATTTATATATATGTAAAGAGACATATACCTGTGGAAGGTTATAAAATTTAAGGACTTAATGTCATCTTCAAACAAATTATAATCCAATAATTATATTAAGAATTATACCAGCCTGAGTTAAAAAACACGAACCAATATATTCAATTGTGCAGGTAGGATTTTCTTACTTTAAATTGAGTAAATGAAAACCTTATCCGTTTTAAAAGGTGTGATTATTTTACCTCTACACAAACACAATACTCACTAACTTTTTCATTACATCTGAAATTATGTGTATGTGTGTTGAATTCACATTTACCTCTAAATTATACTAAATGACAGTCACATTTACCATGTATTTTAAAACTTTAATTTTAAATTTCCATAAAATATTGTTTAAGTTTTAACTAATGAATCATTTTAAAATAAAAAATATACATTTTACTTTGTTACAAAATTAAGAAAGAATAATGACATTTTATTACAGATAAAAAATTATTTAAAAGCTACTGAAGATATCAATGTCATTTTATTGAGATGGGAATGTCAACATGAATATTATATAACATAATATTATGAAGGTAAGTACAATTTCTTATGCACGGTCACTTTTAATAAGATATTTTTTTTTTCTTACTTTCTTTTTAAAATCTCATATTGTGAATTGAGATACAGAACAAATCTGTAAGTAGACTAGAACATTTTATAAGGGTCTATGTAGTTAGACTCATACTCTATTAATAAAAAGAATAAAAACATTGCTAAATATTTTTGTCTTGAACAAAATCTAATCTGCTGTAAAGATTAACAAATGATAACATGCAGATAGAATTAAACAATGTAGGGTTGGCTGAAGACAGGGTGGAAGAAAATTAGGCCAAATTATACTTATTTTAACTTAAACTGTGGCTGTTATACAACCACCACAGCAGAAAGAAGGCAAATAATTGAGCATCCTTTTCAAATAATTGAATCAATTTGTATTTTTCGAACTATAATTATTGTTTAATCTTCTCTTACTGAAAACATTATCAGGCACATCAAGCTCAAAGCTGAAAAACAACAATTTTAAAGGTCTTTTCTTGCATTAAATTTTTTTTTTTGAAAATGCCATTAACTTTATTTAGAAATAATTTTTACTCAAGTGCGTCCCATAAATGTTGACAAGTTGGAAAATTGCAGATATAAGCGGAAATGTAGTTTGAAGCTCAGCAATTTTAGTACGTAAAGTTACACAGTTTGTTCTTAGTCAATTTGTGATACTATTTATCGAAAATAAGCAGAACTGATTGTTGTGTATATATAGGTAATGAATGAGCAGTTTTTTTAGGAGTGTAAAGAATAAAAAAGGGTGCATTTGAATTGGTTTTTATGGTGATGAGAGGAAGTTGTTTTGTAACATTGGTTTTGGCATCAGAATAAGATTCTGACGTAAACGGGCATGGCTGATTCATTAACAGCTTGAGACAGAGTTGTTGTGGTACAGTAGTTGTAGAAGGTAGCACACGTGAACGCCTATGTCTCATGCATCGAAACCTTGACAAATGTCTCAACCTGAAACGGAAAAGGAAGCAGCCTTCACATTCATATATGTATATATATCCAACACCAACAACAACTCTACACACAACTTCTGCACTCTGCATATGCTGCAAACCCTTTTCTCAATAAAATAAATGTCTTCATCTTATTATGAGAGTGGTTCAGGAAAATGAATCAAATATGCAAACAGATGAAACAAACACGTATACTCTCAACTTGTAAATATTATATTACAACCCCATAAATAGAACTTCATCGGAAACTGTCTCAGGAGACATGTGAATATTTTATCTATCTAAAAGGGCACCATGCATTGGCGCTTTGCAAAAATACGTCTTTTCAGAATCAATATCATCAACCATCATGTAATTTGTGAACCTTTAAATCATTCTTAAGCATAAAGCAACTTCATGTAATCCTCTACGGAAGGGATTAGATCATACTTCGTTGTAACCCAGTCGTTTGATATAACCTTTTTTTAGTTAAACCTTTTTTTAGTTTTATATATATATTAATTTGTGTGCGTGTGCGTGCGTGTGTATTTCATGAAAATTAAACTAATTAAATTTTCTAGTTAAAGTAGGTTATATTTGAAAATTACATTTCCCCTAGACTTCTCTTGCCAGTCATGCAGATAGTTGAGTACATATTAAATTAATGGGTAATCATATTTTTCAGGGCACTAAGTTTGGTTATTTTTAGGTTTATTTGTTTTAATGAATTATAGGTGCAGAAATTAAAGTTGTAGTGAATAAATGAATTTAGAAGAAATTAAAATGTTTAATATTAGCTATGATGAGTTTTAAATATATAGAACCTATCAGAAACACAACTGAGAAATTTATCACTTAAATTTACATACAATGTTTTGTGTACTTTTTGCTAATGTGAAAAAAAAAACATGTATGGTACCTGAGGAAATGAGGTTTTTGTTTACTTGTAGACAATAAGACGTCCTTTTTGACATTTCGAAAGTTACATTTCCAGATAAAATTCTTCGTTAATATAATAAAATTCATTTTTTTAAACTTTATTTTGTTTTCATTTTAAGTTATTTTTTAATATTAAATTTTTTATATTTTCTAATTGAGTGATATGGCTATTATAATGTCATCTTATTTATTTGTCATGTTATAAGGTATATGAAGTTTGAGGTTTGTTTTGAGTTAATGGAAAATGATAATGTGATTAATTAAAAACATATTTATGAACCATCTAAAAACACAATAAATATGTTTTCAATAAAATTCGCCTGTTCAATATGATTTTTTTATTAATTAAACGATCCCGTGAGATTTGTTAACATGAGAGACAAATAAAATGGAAAAACAACGTATAGTATATTTATAAAAAAATGATACAAATTTAAGTAAAAAAACCTAATATATTTTCAATAAAATCAAATTAAAAGTATTCAAATTACTTCAAAACTAATTAAATCTATTTTTAAATAAAAATCATAATATTGGTTTATAACGTAATACACATCTTAATTGTTAGATGTAATACACATCTTAGTTGTTAGACATGAAAATAGTGTAAATTTATGTCTTAATATTTTGTTTGTATATGTGACAACAATAAGAATTGAAAATATTATAAGTATTATTATCAGTTTGTTATTTATTTAAAATGTCACAAATCATGTTGAAATACAGTTTTGACACATTATTTGACAATAATAAAAATTGAAAATATTTAACACATCATTTTTCACCTAAAGAAATGTCAAATAAGCATAAGTCTGTCAACCAATTATTTACCTTTTCATATTCAAATACAGTTTTGAAATAATGTTTGAAAAATAATCTTGGCAAAGTTAAAGACAATTGTATCCTAAATAATTTCTTTATCATTAAACAAAAAGAAAAAGCAACAAAAGTAGTTCTCCTTTGAGCTGTTAAGTTCAGAGTTGAGACAGAGTTTTGTTCTCTTTTTTATTTCCAAGCATTATTTATCATGAAAAATGAAAAGAAAAAAGAACACAAACTAAACTTTTTGTCAGATTTAGAGTAGACAAAACAAATCCCTATGATAATAGACACAGATCGAACGGTAAGGAGAGGTTGATGTGTAGGAGTGACGGTTGAGTAGCAGCACAGGGAATCGCATTCATTCACAATTCTGAAATGATCATCATATGGGGATATGTGAACGGAGAGAGAGTGAAAGAGAGGGAGTGCAGAAAAGAACAGAACAGAGGAGACAAGATCATGGGATCTGCATGTTTTTATTGCAGAAGCCCTGCAAACATGGATCATGCAAATCCTCTCCCTCCAAAATAAAAACAAAAAAGCAAGCTTTGCTATCCCATCCATCAATTTCCTGACATCTCAAAAGCACCCACCCCTTTCAATTCTTTTTATTTCTGTTCAGCCCTCAAGGTGGTATTTTTATTTATCATCCACAAATCTTATCCAACCCAAATGAATCATTAATTAACCAATTATCTTCCAAAACCAGCATTCGCTAGATAATTACCATCATCACCAAAAGGGTAAACCTTTGTCCTTTTATGCCAGCATGGACTTGAGCGTGCCAGTGTCCCTCTCTTTGGACTTTGAAGTGCTTAAGTAAACTAATACGTCTTGACTCAGATCCAAAAGGGTAAAAAAAGGTGCAAAGTGATCAAATTGAATGAGTTTGATTAGGGAGAAAATCTTTAATCACATTACAAGTCATTTTCCAGCACAGAACTAATAAAGGTAGGGGGTGTTTGGGGATATGTGCTATGAAGGCAAAGGAATAGGAATAGGAGCTATAAGGGTATAAGGGTATAGGGGGAGTGTTGTGAAAGGAGAATGAGTATCTTTAGGAGAGGTCAGCGCAACATAACACAATAGCAGCACAGCATGCTTTACTTCCTGTGCTAAACAACCTAACGTTATTTTATGAGACTTCAGGTTGCGTGCATTGTGCTCTAATTCCGTTCCTGTTTTGTGTTCTTGGGTTGGTTGGTTCGCCAAGGGGAATCTCTCTGGTTTTTATCACCTCTGTCTCTTTTTTTTTTTGCCTCCTCTCAAATAACCTTCCTCTCTCCTTAAAAAGAGGAAAGACACACACCTAAGACATAGAGAGAGAAACATAGATAGAGAGCAGGAGAACCCACTAAGCGTGCAAATAAAAGACTTAAAGCAAAGCTAGATTGCAATCCCATGCTATTATAGCTCCCTCCACCTTTGCTTTTCAAGTGTTGTTTTTTTTTCTCCCTTCCTTTCTCTTGGTGGGGTTTCCATTGAGCTGTGATAATACTTGTGTTCCTCCTACTGCTACCTTAACCTATCCACCGTTTTGCAGTGGCCAATACCTTTTAAGGTTACATTGTAGGTCCTTCTGTCTTTCGGCTCAGAGTTTCTCCCACACCAAAGGTCTTAGGCAAGTTTGCCTACCAAGAAGCTCTTTTTCATTTTTTCCCAACTACAACATGTGGTATTTAGCTGATTTAAGCTGTGGTTAGACTTGTAAGAATCTCACCTCTCCAACTCAAACTCTATGATTCAGTGTCCATTTTTTCATCTGTTATATAAAACAAGACAGTTGTTTTCAGCCTTTTTGTGTTTTTTGTCTGTAACCAGTTATTTATCTGTTGTTGCATGAAACAGTCCAGAATACATATATTTGGTGAGTAGTATTTGAGCAAGGTGGAATCTTCCTTTTGAGTGTGGCGTAAACTAGCGATGGATGAAAGGTCAAGAAACGAGGTATCTCCTCAGCTGTTAGATTTGATCCCAAACGAGCGAGAGTGGCAGATGAACAGAAACGAAGGAAAGTCCTCAGAGGAGAGAAAGCTCGAACTGAGGCTAGGTCCACCTGGTGAGGACTGGACTCTCAGTGGTAAAATGAAGAACGCCAACTCAGAAAGAGAGGAGTCACTTCTCTCTCTTGGGTGCTTCCCTTCTTCCAACATGTCTCATGCAATACTCAGCCCCAACAATGGGTTCCAAAGCAAGGCCTCTCCATGGCCAAACTACCACAACAAGAGTAACAACAAAGCCTCTGCACCTTTTCTTCAGTTCCCATCAGCTGCACCCGTGATGGGAAAAGATGCTTCACAAAAGTGCTGTTCTAAGGTGGTAGAGTTGCAGAATGGTTGTGGTGGTGGTGATAGCAAAGTGTTCTCTCCCTCTCCTGCAAATACAGCTGTGTCACAGCCCAACACCTCTCAGAAAAGGTACTCTACCTTTTATTTCTTGTATCCTTGTTTTGTTACTTTTCGGCAGAGGATATTCATTCCCAGAGTCACGTTGTTTCATATATTTTTTGGTGTGGTCCATGCAAACCAAACTCTGCTCCCCATCTTTCTACTTGTTACCATGTGATAGATCTGGTGTTTCACATCCCCTTGTTGCACGTTTATGTGATAGAAGTAATTATTGAGTTTTCCATCATTAATTACCATTTATATGGTTACCCTCATCCAAATAAAAAAATGGGATGGGACAAGTTTTAAGCTTTGATCTCCCTGTACTCTGTACTGGCCGTTTTTGTTCTGCTATGCTTAACTTTGCCATGTTCTCCCAGATATGTCCACATCGGTTATTTTGCTATTTGTCATTTATTATGTATCTTGGTTATCTTTCCTGAGGTTTGACATTGGCATGTGAATATCTGACCCTGTCTCTATTTCCCTCTCTTTAATTTGTTTCGTCCCTCGTGGGGGAAGCCTATTTTGGATTGTAGATTTAAATTTATTAGAAAAAGGTACAGACATTGTGTAATTCCAAATATGTGAATTTGATGAGTGATGGCAGGGTTGTGCTAGTGTGGTAAATAGGGTGAGCTCTTTAGCCCCACCTCATCCTTTTGTTTTTTAACTTTTTAGCTTTGTTCTCACCAGTTTCACTGTTCACTTTCATGCCTAATTTGACATTTTCCTTGTGGACCCTCCACAAACAGAACTGCTCCCGCTCCGGTGGTGGGGTGGCCCCCAATTCGTTCCTTCAGGAAGAACCTTGCTAGCAGCAGCGCTTCTAAGCCATCAACTGAATCACAGCCTGAGCAGCACAACAAGGTCGCTGGTAAAAAACCTGTTGATAACTATGCCGGTAAAGGTTTGTTTGTTAAGATCAACATGGATGGAGTTCCAATAGGGAGAAAAGTGGACCTCAATGCTTATGACAGCTATGAAAATCTCTCTTCTGCTGTGGACGAGCTTTTCAGAGGTCTTCTTGCTGGTAATTTTTGTGACAATAATTCAATGCTTGTGCACATGCGGTCAACTTAATCACACTTGTTTATTCTCTTGTTTACTACTTTTAATTGATTGCTACTCAACAACAACTGATAAAAACACAAGCAAGTTTTTATAAAATTTAAGACTAGCTATGTACTTGGGGGGTTGGCTACATTAATTCAACATTTAATGCTTACGGTCAATGTGTTTCACCAAACAATTTTTTTAATATAATTTGTGATTATTTCTCTAGACAATCTCACATTGAAGTTTTGTTTTTCCACGCATTTCTACAATTCCTGACGGTGAAGATGGAAGTTTTGTGAAGTTATCTCATTTTGTCTTTTCCTACTGCTGTTTAGCTCAAAGAGATTCCTCTGCTGGTGGAGTTCACAACAAGCAGGATGAAGAGAAAGCAATCACGGGTTTATTGGATGGAAGTGGAGAGTATACTCTTGTTTATGAGGATAATGAAGGAGACAGGATGCTTGTTGGGGATGTGCCATGGCAGTAAGCATCTTATTATCATTATCAATCTTCTGCACTATTATTTCATTTAGTATTATAATATTATATAATCTCCACTTGGTGTGTGAGTGCCAATGGAGGATTAACATTATGATCTCATTTATTTATTTAGATTCCCAGTGCTTAACAATTACTATATATTTATATCAAACATCCTTTTAGGCAATTGCTGTGAATAAATCCGAAGTAGTACATGCCATGGCATGTCTGTTCTTTCACATGACAACACCTGTACGACTGTCTCCTCTCGGAAATACAAATAAACTATAAATTAAATGGCGCAATTTGCTTTTCCCTTTGATGTTTTTTTAATGATTAATGTTTACATATCATCCTTGGCAGCATGTTTGTATCAACAGTGAAGAGGCTGAGAGTGTTAAAGAGTTCAGAGCTTTCTGCTTTTACCCGTGAGTTCGAATCTTCTTTTTCACTTTCCTCATTTTGTTACTGTTGTGATTGAAAACTGAAGAAGTGCTTGTTGGTTTCAGTTGGCAGTAAGCAAGAGAAGATATCTCTTGACTCAGCAATGAAATAAAGAGCAGTTTGAGTTTTGAAGTTTGAGGTTTTGTTCTGTTCCCCTGCTGAAACTGGAAGACTCCTCTAATTTGACGTTTTGGTTCTTTTGTCTGGTGAAGATCATGGAATGAAGCTAGAAGCCGTTGTACGTACATTACAACTAAGTAATGTGGTTCATATATCTTTTTTTAATTTTGAATGAAGATTTGAAATGCTTATGGGTTGTATAAATAGGGAAGGAAAACTTCAAAATGTGTGTACCAATGTTGAATGATGTACTGTTGAGCAACCATTAACTTGTTTTATGGTTTGTATTTTGAAGTCCCTTTTGTAAGGGGTTTCTCATTGTCTTAATAATTTCAAATCCACATGGTAAGGATCCAAATTTGGGGAACGTGTACACATGTCTTCTTTACAAACATTTACAAAAAAGAAAATTACTTTGATATGACAGACAGTAGAAAAGTGCCCTCTAATTCAAAAAAATCTCTACTTACAAACAATCTGAAAAGCCATTTAACGAAGGTCAATTTGCTTTGTGAACACGATCCTATTCTTAGCACCATCTTTGTTCTTAACACAGTTCCTTTCTTAAGTGCAATAGTTCAAAGTGAGAAGCACATAAAAAAGAAATCTTGAAAGAAGTATCTTTACCATTTTTATAGAATTGTAACTGTTGGATGTGTGTGAACGTTGGACCAGGCAATGCATGTTAGATGAAAGAATAAAGGAAAGTCTAAGAAGCAATGCTGGGAAATAGTGATTCCAAAAAGGGATGGTCAAAGAGCATTGGATCTATGCCTATAGTAAAGAAGAAATGGTTTGAAAGAAAGCGATTTTGTTTGGGGAAGAATCAATCAATGGTCGTTGTCGTTGGGAGGTGCCTAACTTGGATGGGTAAATATGAGAGTATGTATGTGTATGTGAGTTAGGGTTAGGGTATGCTTATCCTCCAAAGGGGACAAATAGACAGATACATTCTTTAACTTTGCGTGGCTTTAGTGCTTATGTGCGTGTGTGTTGTCCCTAAAGGGAGTTGGTGAAATGTAGGGGTTGACCACCACGATCTCCCTCTCCTTATTAAAAAAACTCATTTTATATTGTTATACATGTTTTATTTTACATTTTAATTATATAATCTATAAATATTTTGGAATGAACAATTCAGAACATAACTTTTATATTTTGAATTGTATATTTCCAAACCTAATTATTATGTCCAATAATCTTTTGCATTCTTTGCAAGAAGACGTGAGACAATTAAAATTTTTTTTTCACTCTCTGAAAATGTCTTTTGGAACATAAGACAATTAAATTTTTTTTTTCACTTTCTGAACACGTGAGTTTTATGTTTCAAAACAAATAATATTTATATAGTGATTGATTCTAATAATGTCATTAGACAAATTTGAAATCCAAACACATTGGAGATTTTGAAACTAAAATTAAACTAAAAAAAATATAAAATTAGATTTTTAAAGTGTATGGAGGGTGCAGAATGAAATTGTGAAGGTGCAGGAAGCAACCAATATTGTTTGTTTGAAATGGATAATTCCTGCCCAACTTATCAGACAAAACAATATTCCTATAACATTACCGTGTTTGGGCCAAGTTAATTAGAATTAGACCATCTTCTGCTTTAACCTAATATTACATGTAACTATTTATTGAATTGGCTAAAATGGGTTATATTAATATCCTTTAACCTCAAAAATTATTTTAAATTGGAAAAAAATGATTTCATATGAAGATAATTGACATTGAGTGTGCATATGGAGAATGTCCATGCCCATAGATAACAACTGCAAGTTTCTAGATAAACAACAATATATTTTAAAGGTGTTCAATATCAAACTGATACAATAAAAACAAATGGAAATCAGTAAAAAACGAACAAGGGATAAGATTCAATTTTAATTTAATTTTCATAAATGGAATTTGATTTGGATTTTAAATTGAAAATCAGTAACATAATTACATTGAAAAAAATTATTTATTCTATTTAAATATAATACAATGTACTTAAAATTAATCAATGACTCTTCCACATATGCTTGTATGTATTTTGAAGTTGTTTTATACTTTATTTTAAATTTTACTATAATATATTTATGTTGTAACTTTTAAGTATAAAATTAAGAGACTTATTTATAAATATGATAATAAGTTAAAATTAGAAAAATAATAATAGCTATAATTTTCTTTATAATGTATCTCTTTGTTTAACAATTTTATAACTATAAGAATTATAAAATCAATCAAAATCAAATCACAAAATATTACTAGTTTAATATTTATATTAAAATTAAATTAAATCAGAGCAGAGCGAAACCTATTCTATCGGTGACTATTTAATAAAGAAAATAAATCAACAAAAAAACCCAATAATAAAAGACAAAGCGTTCTCAATATGTAATATGTGTAGGTTATTTCCACATGTGTCTTCAGTTCCATTAGAAATAAAGTGTTTATATATTCAGTAATATCAAGGTCCTACTAGACCATTATCTTAACTTTTTTAATTGTTGTTAGTATAATAGTATTTTAAATTTTCTATGATAATAGCTTTAAATTAAAAAGTACATTTTTTTTTATTTTAAGATTATGATAATGAGTTTGAATAAAATATCATACAATTAATCCAATTGATACCACTAAACCAATTATATTAGACATAAATAAATAATTTCAGTATTACAATTGAATTAATGAATTAATTAATTATTAATTGAGGTAAAAAACTAATATGAACACAAATTAATGAATAAAATTCAACTAATCATTTTTTTTAAAAAAATCCTAAGGCTCAATATTTATCAACATGACCTTGAGGAAATACAATCATTGTTGGACTTTGAGATTTTGGCATTTTAGAAAGGATTCAAGAACTAGAAAAAGAAGATAATAACATGAATGAATTGAGAGTGAGAGTTTGTATATCAAATAGAAATAGTAAAAATTTATAATAAATATGTGATTTAAACTTTATTTTATAAAATTAATTTATAAATTTTTATTATATAAATAATAAAATTTTTGTAGGTGACACTACTTTGTTGATAATTCAATTGTTAGTTTAATATATTAATAAAATAAAAAAATTAAATACTATATAAAAATGATATATGAGTGATCATATGTCATTCGTATTATGTCTCATTAATTATCCTTTGTTCAAAAAACCCACCACATTTTAAAGATTATATATAACATTCGAATTTCTGCTTCCATGACAAAATATCTTTTAATAAAAAAAGAGAAAAAAAAGTTTTTAATGATGATAAGTATTGGTATAATAAAGGTTCTTTTTACTATTGTCTCTTTTATAATTAACTATACTGTATTACTTAAATATACTTGTATATATTACCTTATGTAGTTAATAGTTATAAATCATTTATTAAATCAATGGTTAAATTAATAAAATCAATAGTAAGAAGAAATTAGTGTTGTTTATATTCTAGTATAAATATGTGTATAGGATCCTAATAAAAATTTCAAGCTGAAAAAAGAGAAACAATTCTCAGTGATCATGGTAAGAGATAAATAAATTATTGAGAATTTTTTTTATAATTTTGTTCTTTTCATAATAACAAACATTCATTTTAGAATGAACTAATTTTTCTTAATAATTAAACTTTCAACTTTAGAACTCCTAACCTCCCACACTCACCCTTTCAACTTTACCATTAAACTATCTTTATATCTCCTTTAGTTTTCTTTCCTAATTGTTTACATAAACAAACTTATGAATATAAGCACTTATTACGGAACACTTAATTCATTGTAGGAATGAGTTTTACAAGAAATACATATAAGATATAATGTGAAAGTAAAAATATGATAAGTTAAAACAAATGTTTCAGACCTCAACTGTAGAAAAAATTAAATGAAAAACTATATAATCTAAAATACATAATGGATTTTGTAAAGATAAGAATAATGTTACTTTGACAACATTTTTTGACAATATTTTAACACCATCTACGTATCATTTTGTGATTGGTCCATATTGATATTTATGATTATTATTATTGATTACCAATTACATAATGTTACATAGATTATGTAAAATATTGTAAAAAAGTGTTTTTAAAATATCATTATCTTAAAGATAACTAATGTTTTTGACTTCTTATTTTCCTTTCGTAGAGGTTATTGTAAAAAAAGTAACTTAAACAACACTTTAGCTATTTATCCAAACAACTATGGTCAGTTTAATCCCTAACTAAAGCCAAGTCATCCATATTTATCAAACAACTTCTGGAAACATTATTATTTTGAGCAGTTATATAATTAAGAACTTAACGAAATTGAGTTCGTGAGATTTTCCCCCCTAGAAAATGTTAAGATTATTTTATTAATCTCTAAAATATACATTTTCTTTTCTTTTCAACTCATACTATCCCTTAATTAATGGTAAAGCATTTGAATTTTGGTTACCCTTTGGATATACGATAGAAACATGTTAACAAGGGGAGTTTACACTGTTTACGTTTATAATTATTCCTACTATAATACTATAATTAAAAAAAAAAAAAGAGTTTGTTGCAGTAAAGTCATCTTAATTACCTTTAAATTAAACTCAATTAACTCTCCACTTGTAATGTTGCATTAAGTAACTGAAGTAGCAAGTTGACCATTGGGATATATAAAGAAAAGCCATGTAATTAGTGGCGTAAAATTGGAGCTAAGATTGATTAAATATGTAATTGCAGTGAAGCATCTTTAGGAAATAAAACATATACAGTTTCTAAATTGGAAGGAATAGAATTCACCTATTTATTTGTCTTTTTATTTTTTATTTTCTGACTACACGTGCAGTTCATCCAGAAGACATCTAAATCAAAATGCAAATAATTTCTTCTGCTTTTTATGGGGCGGTGGAATTATGTTGTCGGACGAAACCGTGATTCACATTCTAGCTTTGGCAGGTAAACTTTCAAGTCAATTATGAATTTCTTGAGCTATTCTTTCACTCTATATATTTATAAAATATTCTTACGCACTGTGGCTATAGTCACGTACGCAATGTTCCCTCTTCAATCTTTCTTTCTTTCATGCACAGTTTAATTAACTCCATTTGCATAAAATCAACTCATACATTCCAACTTTGAAATTTTCTGCATCTTCTGTTCAACTTCAATACTGCAATTCACATTCTATAGCTTCTAGCTTTTTACACCATTAAGCAGTGTAAAAATGCTAACTAAAATTATTAAGATCTCACCAACCGTACGAAAATTTTCAAAACGAGAAGCAATATATAGATATGTTTCTGGTAGCAACAATAGGGTTCTCAGATTATATAGATGTCCCAAATCCTTACATATGTTAGACAAAAT